CACAAAATGGAAGCTACCTTAAAAAATAATTATAATTATATGGGAGGAGAGAGAGAGAGAGATTTTCCTTCGGCCTGATGAGGATAGGATTGATTTCTCTTAAATTCAGCCAGACAGGTAAACTTTAGCCACATACCTGTGTGGCTTGCAATATGGTTCAGCAGCCTTTCCCAGCCTGGTGCCCTCCAGTCGTGTTGTGCTCCAGCATCCCCCGTGGCTATTGGTCCCACCTTAGGCACACTTGACTGGTAATAACTGGCCAAGGGATTCTGAGAGTGGCAGCCCAAGCCAGAATACATCAGGAAGGCACAAGGATTAGAGGAAGGCCTAAAGTTAAAAGGAATTGTCCTTTCACATTTACTCAATAGCTGGAATCTGCATCCCTCCAGAGGAAACAGGGAAATCAGCATTCTTGGCTATTCCCTCTGGGCTTTTCCATCAATGAATCCAAGACCGGGCCTGAAGAAATCATTCTCTGGGAGGGGAGGGAGAGTAAAATGCAGAAATCAGGGGTCACATCTAACCGTTTTTGTAGATTTGCCATCTGCCTGGATGGAAAGGAAAGCAAAACCCTAGGGAAGAGTGGTCAGAGTAAAATATATATCTTAAAAGAAGCCCTTCCCTTTTCTGCCTTTGCCTTACACCGGAGATTTCAACCAATGTACTCAAGAGTAAAAGCTCCTGCAACAGCTACAAAGCAAGGGGGGTTGTGATTCCAGGCTTCCTCTTTTGGTATCCCGGCACAACATGAACAGGCCTTATCAAATGTATTCAACACACAATCAATGAAATGCCACAAGCACATCCTATGCCACACTTGTACACATATACAACACAGAGTTCACTTGTCTTACTAGAGGATAATGTGTCCACTGTAGCAAGCCAAATCCCCCATCTTCATCCCTCTGGAGCTTACATAAAGCACTTCTAAACCAGAATTATTCCTTATGTTTAATATCATTTGTCCAAACAAATCAGCAAGAACCAAAACAACTGTGGCCCTCTATAGGACTACTCATTGAGTTCAATAAGGTACTTGTATTAGGAAAAAAGATGCCTAAAGGTGCCATTCTTTGGGCACTTTCTGGCACAAACCTCCAAGATGCACAGAATTGCACTTTGTCCCCATCAAGCATGGATAGGATTAAAGTCACACTGAACTCAATGGAACTTAATTCTGAGAAAACATGCAGCCTTTGTAGAAAGTCTGTCCAACTGACCTGAATGGGGCACCTCAGTAACTGTGCTTAGGGCTATGCTGAAAGTGCAAAGAAACCTAAGCTTCTCTTGTACAATTTCTGCACATGCCAAACACCATAAAAGTAACTTCAACAACAAAAATGTATTTGTTACTGCTGAATTTAGAGATAACCCACTGAAATCCATGAGACATGTCAGTCATGACTAATTCAAGTCTAACTGATTTCAGTGTGGTTATTTAGGCTGATTCTGGATCCATCCCTGTGTGTCTAGCAAAAAATGCAGGCTTGAAGTTTTAAACAATTCTAGTGAATGCCTAACTTAAAGTAGGTTTACTTTTGAACAGGTGTGCTTATTTCAGCAGGATTGCTGACCTGATTGCTTCCATTTCCAGTCTACCTGAAATGGAAGCATGCAAACATTCTGGAGATGCTTAACCAAATTTAAGCCTGCCCCTTTGCAGCAACCAAAATGGTTGCTGCCATCCAAAGTTCCTTAGCCAGTACAAACACAAGAGCCAAATCAAATCCTTAGATTGGGGGGCATTTGCATAACATTGGGGATTATTTAAGCCATGGTTGTGCAAACCCACTCACAGATTTTCCCTCCACATCTTACTCTTCTAAAAATCAAGGTAGGAAAGAGGTGTCACATAGAAAAACAAACAGGGCTTCTAGCTGCAAGCATGTTTGACAGGACCCCTCTGAGAAAGTTAAGTTGATCAAGAAGTGCTTCAAGGATGGTGAACAAACTTGGTCTAGGATTCTGTACAACTCAGATTTGTTGCTGTCATGCCTTTGCAATGCTGTTCGTCCATAAGATGCCACCTTTTGGGTATCCATGAACAGAGTACCTTAAAAACCATAGGAAGCTGTCTTGCTCCATTAGCAGAAAAATAATACAAAACTCAGAACCTGGCAGTACCTTTATTAGGAGCAAAACCAGAACACATCACTCAATAGTAAGCAAGCAATGGGGCTTTCCAGAACTCTATCAGGCTGAATTGTAAATATTAGAGAAAGATGCCTTTATGTAGAAGCCACACCATCTGCTTTTAGGGATGTGGATGAAGAGCACAACCCCACTCAACCCCAAAACCTAGTCCCATCATATTTACTGGGGCTTAACCCTGGGTAAGTTAGGATGGGGTTACAGCCTGTATCAGATTAGGCTGTGCTGATTCCTCATTTTTAGAAGTATAAGATCCAGCAGTTATTCAGATCCTTATAGGCCATTTTAATTCCTTGCAAGAGAAAGAAACATGGGATATAATAATTTCCAACCCTAAGAGAAATGCACAATTTTATTATTATGAAATGGAGCTTATGTATCCCTATTTTATCCTCACAACAACCCTGTGAAGTATGTTAGAGACAAGCTTAGAATCATCAATGATTTTTGTGGCATAACAGGGACTAGAATGCAGGCCCCCCAAGTCCCTGTTGAACACTCTAACCGTGACCCTGACTCAAAATAGAAGATACCACCTTCATACCCTGATTATGAGCTTCCACAGCAACTTGGCCAGAACTAAGAACTGACTGCTAGACTAGAATAGATGGACCCTAGTAAGAACCAGCAAGGCAGCTTTGTGATCATTTTTGGAGTGGATGCAACCATCTCATAGGAAAGGAAGTTGAACCTCATTTGCATTAATGGCATACTTCATGTTTGCATTTGGTCCTCAAGTCCAGTACATCTCCTCCCAATTTGCCAATATAAAAAGCCATATTTCTCTTGATGACAAGGAGCTGGTGTGTTGTAAAAGTATTGGACTGGGACCTGGGAGATCTGGGTTCTAGTCCCTGCACAACCTGGAAGCTCAACTAGCCGACTCTGAGCCAGGGTTACTGTCAGGATAAAACAGAGAGGAAAAGGATCATACACATTTCCCAGGGCTTCTTTGAGAATATAGAAGCAACAATAAATAAGGATTATAAATAAATATTGTTCTCACTGGCCTGGACCTAGCATTCAGAGAGATGCCTTGAAACTTGAAGGTTTCATCAAACTCTGGTACCTAATGGCCATTTGTAGCTCTGTCCTCCATTAATTTCTCTAACCTTAAAAGCCTGCTAAGCTAGTGCTATCATTGCAAAGAACCAAATCCCTTATTTTCATTCTGTGAAGGAGTCCTGAATTTACAGCCAACCTATTTCCCTGTGTCTCCCCAATCACAATTTCATAAACCTCTTTAATGCTTGCCCCCTGAACAGTTGAATGAATCCATACTAAGAACTTGAGCTGGATCATACCAAAGGCCTATCTAGTCACACTGCAGCCTAAATAACACTCAAAATCCAAAACCATTCTGTAAAAGATGATGATCATGATAAATATCTGCCCAGAAAAGTACCATCATCTGGTTGATCTGAAAGGTTGTGAGAGAGCAGCTGCTGTGGATGAATATTCTTTAGTGATGAATCAAACTAGAACAGCTGCAAGAAACTTTGCAGGTGTGACAACCACAAGCTAATCACAGGCAAGGAAGGTGTATGTGATGTGGAGATGGATCCCAAATCCAGACAAAATTCCATTTGCAAGCCTTTCTAGCAATATGTTGGGGAATCAGTGCTACAGAATGGCATGGAGTGAAGATATTCTGATATAAAGGGACACCCCTTTGTATGGGATCTGGGCAGACTTTCAGCCTGCAGGATCTACTCCAAACAAAACCTCAGGATCCAAGTTTAACTGTTGAATGTACCTCTTTTACACCAGGCTTTGGTTGGTATATCTTCAGCCTCTAAAAACAACAGCAACAAGAAAGTAGTTCCCAGAAAACTGAAGTCTGCCCAGTTCCACCACAAAGGAATAAGTCAGCAAATGCAGACGTTCTTTCGAACAGCGTACTGTCAAATTTGGCCACATCTGGATCCAGTGCTGCAGCCTTGCTTCCCTATTCCATAGAAATCAAAGAAAGTCAAGGAAGGCCTTTTTCACTTGGAACGGAGATTTTAAAGGGAGCTGCTCCACGTGGAGGCCTGCAGCGCCAGCATCTTTTTCATCTGCCCTCAATCACTCTAGAAGATCGTTTTCTCCGAATTTTCAGCGACCACGACACCACGACGGCCTGGTTAACGTACAATTATCTCGACTATTCTTTCCCTACACACCCCACTTTCCTCTGCGAGGCGAACTCCCAAGCGACCCATTTCGAAAACGGGAGAGGGAAAACTGAGACCGATCCGAGAACACTCTACAGCAAGGCAACTCCTGAACTCTGGGAATCACGGATGGGAAAGGGACGCAGGGGCTGAACCCCCCGCCTCGAGAAGAGGAGGCAGGCCTAACGGGGCTAGGATGGGGGGCAAGCGAAGCCAGCCGGACCCACGCCGCGGCGGTACACCATCTAGAAACCGGGTCAAGCGGGCACTGAGCGCGGGCAGGAGCCGGCGCTCGGCTCGCTCCTCTTGCGCCGCGCGGGCAGGGCGGGGAAGATCCGCGGGGCCGGCCACCCGGCTGCCCCGCTTGCGGCAGGTCTCGCTCCCCTCGCGCGCGCGCGGCGCCCGTGTCCACCCGGCGCGCCCCGCACCAGCTCAGCCCACGAGGCCTTCCGCTGCCCCCCGGCGCTCCCCAAAGTTTACGCGCGCGCAAGCCGCCTGCCAGGCTGCGCCCGGCACCGCAGGCCCACGGTTTGCGCCGGTTGCGTCTTAGGCCCCAGGCCGGCTTCCCCCGTATTTGGCCCCTCCGGGGAAGCGCGCTCTCTCGGCCGGCCGGCCGGCCGTCCGCCCGCCCGCAGCCCAAGGCAACTCCTCTCCCCGATGCACCCTCTCCTCCCGCTCCGCGCCATCCCTTACCTGATGCACGAACACGTCCACCGGGGAGTCGAGGGCGATGCCTTCTTTGCTGGTCATGGAGAGGAACCCGAAGCCCATCCGCACGTTGAACCATTTACAGATCCCGGCGCCATGCAAGAGCGGCTGGTTCTCCTCGTCCGGCCTGGGCGACTCTCCCGTGGGCTCTTCCTCGCCCGCCTTGGCGCAGCCACCTACGAACATACACGCGGATCAGCAGCCGCGGCCGAGCGAAGGGAGGCGGCCCCCTCTCCCTCCCCAGCGGCAGCGGTGGGGGCGCCCGGGGCCACCCAGGAAGCGCCCCGCTGAACGAGGAGAACTCGCTTACCTCCCGGCCAAGCCACCACCTCCCAGCGGGGAATGCCACCGCCATCCCCCGGTAGCTCGGGGAGCAGCTGGGACCTCCAGCCCCGCCGAGCGCACGGCGCACCCGCGCGAGTGGTTCGGCAAGAAGCCATCCAGACTCTGAGGCTGGGGAGTACGAGGAGAGGACTCCCTTCCCTAAATGGCAAACGTTTACCCACGGAGAATGGTCGGGGGGGGGGGGGATTACCCAGCCAAAAATGCAGATCACCCGGGAAGGGGGACACACACTAAATCCGAACTCCCGTCCCTCCTCCACATTCCACAGAGTGGCTGAAAAAATTCGAAGCATCGAAGAAATTGGTGGGTTCTCTGTTTGAAATCCACATCACTGGATGGCGAAGGGGGGAACCCCGCACAGTTACAGGGAGGAGGGTGAAAAGGAGAGAATGACGCTTATCCATTTAAAACTATCTAAAGATTTCGAGAGGTTGAGTGTGTAAATCTGATTCCATGAAAGAGAGAGGTTGGAAAGAAAACACTCCAAACACGCTGCTTTTTTTTAAAAGGAAATTTTGGATTTTTTTTTTAAATGAACGCACTCTTAAAAAACAAAACCGAGCCAAACCTAACCAAAATGCAAACAAATCTTCAGCTGCCAAAGGCATTAAAAAGTTTCCCAAATTCCACCATCTCCATTCCAATTTCTAAAAGCACATGGTGAACCTAAAAAGTGTCCAAACAGCCGCCTCCCTAAAAGTAACAAAGCCTAACATGAAGGAATCGACAGAGATATCTTTCAGTTGATATATAAAGGGGGAATTGAAAATGCTGTAATAATTATTCGTGAATTCGAATTGGAAAGAACTTCCTAGAACACGGCTCATTTTCAAAACAAGGATGGACTGCGGGTGGGAGAAGCAAGCAAACAAGCAAAGAGAACCTGATTTTTTTTTAAAAGAAGAAAGGAGAATTGGGTATAAAAATTTCACTTGACCTGCAAATTGCTGGTTAGAAACAGACCCCATTCTGCACCCCTGGTGGAAATGGTGGACTTGGGCAGAAGCAGCCTCCTCTCTTCCTCCTCCTCTTCCTCCTCCTCTCTGCCTGCCAGTCTTAGAGAGGGTGTCACAGCAGCTCACCAGCCCCCAAAAAAGAGGGAAGGGAGGGGTGAGGGTGGTGGGGAAAGATTCAAAACAAGAGGAGGGAAGGGAAGAGAGAGAGAAAGGTTGCTACATCTTCACTGGAACAATAGCAGTGGGAGGGCCAGAGGGCCTTTTAAGGCTTCCCAAATTTCTAAGAGACAATAGAATTCCCCCAATGCCAAACCTTGCTGGCTTGCCCCTCCCCCTCCTTTTGCTTTCTCTCTCCTCCTCCTCCTCCACCCCCCCCCCACACCGCGCGGCAATCTAAGCTCTCTTCCCTCCCAGGAGACAAAAAAAATGTAACCTTCTGCCGTTCTGCAAGCTGTGGGGTACATCCTGGTTCGTGTCAGTTCTTTCAGACACATACGCACACCTTTCCCTTTCACACTTTATCTCTTGAATCTGGGTGGGGGTGGGAGGGGGAGGGGGAGGGGGAGGGGGAGAGGAAGGTTCGGGTTCTTTTTAACCCTGAGGGAAGAAGCGGACTGTTGGGCCATGTTCCGTTTCCTATGGCCAAATCATATACACTCACGTAAAAACACACGCGATCCTCTTCCACGTGACACTCAATTACACCCCCGCCTTGCTCATCCTAATTATGCATTCCAAAGGGCGGGTTGACCGGGGGGGGGGTTGCGCGCGCGCGCACGAACATAACTTCATTGGTAGAAGGGGAAAGATTACCTGCCGGGGGGGGCATGACCTCCCCCCTCCCGTCTTGACTTCTTTCTGCCACCCCGAGATCCCATTAGCTTCTATTATTGCCCCCCTCCCATGATCGCCTGCCTAGTAAGCTGGCCCCTGGCAAGACCAGCTTGACTCTAAATGACCTGTTTAAAAGGAGCGCTCCCTCCTCCCTGGCTTCTCCTCCTCATTTCAGTTTGGCAAGTTCAGCCTCTTTTCTCGGCCAGCCCTCCCTCTCCCGTTCTCTGCTCCGCCGGAATCTCCCTTGGCCGGCTTTGGGAATGGAGGAGGATGGAAGGGCGAGCTGGGGACTCTCTCTTCCTTCTCCAGCCAATAACCAGCATTTGAACAGAGAAATTGGACCTGAGAATTGGAACGCCTGCATCGTTTCTCTTGTTGTCCCACCAAAATTTGGTGAGATAAGATGCTTACCAGTTTATCCCCAGTGTAACTCTAAAATAGAAGCACTCCTTTGAAGGGAGGGAGGGAAAGTGGGGTGCTTAATTTTTTGCTTTTAGTTTGACTGGGGATTTTTCTTCTTTTTGTTTCCTTTGGAGAAAGAAACTCGTAATATAATTTCCAAGCAAACTTGTGTTATTTTGATGTGTCTTGGTGTGTATTTTAAAAGAACATTATTATGAGAAGTTGAATTCCAGCCGATCATTTACGAAAGGAAAAAAAAATCCCTAAATTAGATTTCCTAATTGCAAATTAAACTCCCCTCTCGAAAGATGTACTTATCAAAGCAAGAAAGAAATAATTTCGAATTCTATGGCCATCTCCTTAGTTAAGCCTCCACAACTGGGAAAGTCGGATATTCTGAGAGAAGATAGCTCAAACGAATCGAGAGGAATGGATGGGGAGAGGGAAAATCCATCAATTTTTTCGACCCTTCCCCCACAGGGGGGGAAAATAATATATTTTAAATCGTTCTACGTACGGAATCGAGTGGAGATGCGGGTGTTTATAGGGGATAAAAAGATTCTGTGTGACCTGCCTTAAAGTTGCGTTTACACCTATATTCCATCTCTACAAGCAAGAAATTTTAAAAATAGGCAGAGTAGTAAAAGTAATGTGGACTTAGAGGCGTTCCACTACCCACTTAGTTGTTCATCTGAAAATCTTGAAACAGGTCAACTTAATATTTAGAATCTCCCCTCCCACCTTATTGAATAACTTCTGGGACTGAGGTGCTGGGTCTGCAACAATCAGAAGTTGCTCTGCCCAGCCGTCTCCCAGCAAATCACAGCATTTACACAGAGTCTACCCTTTTTTATTTACACCAGAGAATTGGTTCCCGATTTAGTCAATTCTAGAGTAGACCCATCTAAATTAATAGGACTTGTGCGGCATGACTACCTTTAAGTTCTACTGGTTTCAGTCGGTCTACTCCGGCTAAATCTAAATCTGGATCCAGTCCACACGCTCACACACACACTCCCTTCTGCAGGGGATGCCTGTGTTCCCCGTGGCAAAGCGGGAGGGGGCGCGGTGCCTGCTTGCTGCTTTAAGGGGAGCCAGATAAAACCAGAGGCATCAGTGAGCCAAAAGTGTTGATGGGCGGGCGGCTGGGTTCCCCCTCGAGTGTGTGCGTGCAGATGAGCAGAAAGCGAGATGAGGGAGCGACCATCAACACCTCCGCCTCCCACTTCTCTTATCTGAAACGACACCCCCCCCCCGCCTCCTCCTATCCCTAATTGAGGAAGGGGCTCATTCTCAAGGAGCTGCCTGCTCTCCCCCTTTGCCCCCGCCGCTTATAGTTGCCATTACATATTTTGAGCGGAAATGGCCCATTTGACTACCCGGGAGAGGGAGGGGAAGGTCTGGGGTTCCTTCTTCCACATCCCCATCGAGCTGTCTGCGAATAGAGGGGGCTGGAGAGAAGGCGGAGAGGTCATGCCTGCTTCGGTGGTGCATCTGATCATCTCGGGTCAGGAGGTAGGCGGCCCCGTTCTCCACCCCTCCCGTCTCCTTGCCTGCCTGCCTGCCCTCCCTCCCTTCCCCCACATTTTTTAGGCGGGGGGGGGGAGAGATTTCACGGCTGGCCGAGGACAATGGCCGAGTGACCAGTGCGAACCCGGGAGGGCAAATAGCCCCTCCATTTCCGGTGCTCAGTTCAAACTGGACAATACCAGCCAGCTATTCCCTGGAGCAAGGCTGAAGTCTTTAAAGGGGCAGCGACTTCGGCTTGGAAAGCGAAGAACACACACATACACTGAGAGTTGCGCACATACTCACGTGCATCGAGTTATTTTGTCTTTGCTTATTTCAGAGTCCCTCCACCTTTTCTTGGGATGGATTTAATCCAAAGGAGAAAAGAGAGACCCACTCAGGAGTAAAGTAAAACTCCTCTATTTTGTAGAGGAGCTCCTTGACATGTTATCTTTCCGTTAAAGCCACAAGGAACTTGAAACACCACAAACAAAAACGGGTATTTGCAAACACGTGTATGACAGAGGGAACCTGGGTTGAATGCAGTTTCCTAGCAAGTAGTCAAGATGGGAGTAGAAGTTTACTGCAAAGGTCTAACCCAGGTTCCCTCCAGGAGAGAGCAATGGAAGTCAGGGTCATCCAAACCCCTCTTCCAGCCCCACAAAGATGGTAGAATGTGTGTTCTCATACAACAGGCCTATGGACTGCTACTATATCTAGATATAGGTCTGTGAAAGAAGAGAGAGAATTTGCAAAAGCATGTACGAACATTCACGCACGTGCACACACAGAATCTAACAGAATGATGCAATCACTTGTATTATAGTTCAAGTTATACTCCTTCTAGTCTAAGTTTGCTTTCCCTGTCACCCTGCAAATAAATTCTGGGGTGTGGGGCTTCCCCAAGGTTTTTAGGTCTGACAACCACACAAGCTTGATCTCTCCTTCTATAGGCAAGGGAAGCCTAACATAATGACCAAACAGGGTAGAAGCTCATTTTCATTTTTGCCCCCCTCCCCACACACAGAGTACCCCAAAAACAAAACAAAAAAAACAAAAACTTATTTGAATTCTTATCTTTGTCTTTTTTAAATCCCCAGATGATTGGTCCTTGGAATAAGTTTGTTTACGATTGCCATCCCTTAAAGAGGTGATTTGAAGAACTTTAAAAACAGCCTTTTAAAGAAATAAAGAGAAACACTGGTATGCCATGGATATGGCTCAAATTTGCAAAGGATTGTGGGGCACGGCGGGAAACAATCCTTTAAGAATTGGATGTGCTGGAACAAAACTGTCCAGTATCTCCTGCTTTAAGAAGACTCAGGGTGCTTAAGATTCAAAACAACATTTTGAACATTGCAACATTTCTCTATCACACGATGAATCCATATGAGAACCTCTCTATATGGATTTCTCCTTGCCATGGCACTGCCAATCCAAGCTACTGTTCTATACAGGGGTACTTATGACTCAGCCCGGCGGGACTTCCTGGTGATTGATGAAACAGTTTTCAAGGGGTGAATATCAGACCCCCTCCAGTTTCATTTGGAAATTGGAAAGGTTCATTCACAAAGTACTGTGTCCACTGACATAAATGCCTTTTAATGACATTCTCTTGGTGGAACCTTGAGGCCTAACAATGGCTAGGACTAGGTCATTGTCAGGATCCAAGAGGAATCGTCCTGAAAGCTTCAGAGAAACAAAGGAGCCAGTGCCCAATCGCTGTATTCAGATTTTCTTTAACTTGCACATTTCCATCCCTTTCCTACAGAGCAGACAGTCTGAAAGGTAGACATTATGCTACTAAGTAGTCTTTCTCAGATGCACTAGCAGGGAAGGAAATCAATAATGAAACATGATTTACAGTGCAATATAACCCTACACGTGCCTCCTCAGAAGTTAGACTACTTTGAGAACACCGGAACTTACTCTCAGGGAAGGAGCATGTGTAAAAGTTGACAGCCTCAAACTGAGCTTCAGTCGGCAATCTCCGTCCTGTGTATAGAATACAGTCCTGTCGCTCTACGGCTTGTCCGTAGCTCTGAATGGATGGGAGGTAGAAGTGGGAAGTGAGAGAGAACATCACATTTTAACAGACGATGAAGAAAGAGAAGCGTTAGATTAAGCAGCAGCACAAAGCCTTGAGCGCTGTCCAAGGTGCTGATCCGCGGCCCTCTATGAGCGCTCGAGCGCTCTCCAGAGTCCTGAAAAGCACCGTGAACTGGCCACGGTTTTGTGTGGGGAATAAATATAATTAAGTTAAATGC